TACTTAGTTCCTTACTTTATTGTGATTTGTCTTCTTAATAACACTGGTTGCGGGTTTTTTGTGTTGATTGCTAAGATAATTATTCTAAGAATGTTTTGTTTTGTTTTTTGTCCCCCCCCCCCCATTCTAAGCATTTTGAAAATGTAAAAGGTGTTATGCATAAGTACTTATTTTATTATGGCCCGTAGGATATTAGAAGACTTGTGAGGTTTTAGCCAACTAGCACAAATACTAACTGACTCTTGATTACAGCATAATCAAAACAAGTTAATTTTTGAGGTCCACCAGCTAGAACCAGGTGCAAAATGGTGACTGAGGAGGTGAAGGAGCCAATTGTCTACTGGACCCCATGTGGTATAAACAGGGAAAACTTGCAGATATAACTGAGTGGCTCCAGGCTATGAATTTTCTAATTTAGAAGTAAAAAATAAGCTTTTTTCATTTTTGCCACTGCTGAACAATTAGAAATCAATTCTTTCTAATCTACTGCAGATAATATTAGATCTACTTGTAGAACTCAATCTACCATCTGTCTGTTCACCTCGTCTCTTCTCATATCAGCAGATTCATCCACTAAGGCACTGTCCTCTTCATGCATATCCCATTTCCATGCAAGATCATGCAAGAGGGCTTTCTCAGTTGTGGCACCTAATTTTTGAAACTCCACACCCCAGAAGATCCACTTAGCATACTCCTTGATGAAATTTTACCACCACCTGAAAACATCCTTATTCCAGCCTTTGGCCTGACATTTTGATGTTTCTCTTTTTCCCCTCTGTTTCTCTTGTTAATTTGCTATCTGTTTCCTTGGGTTTTGTTTCTAATAACACTGATTTGTGTTTTTAACCCTGATTACAGGATTACCAAGATAATTATTTGAAGCATTTTGAAAATGCAAAAGGTGCTATGCATAAGAACTTGTTTTATTATGGCCCATAGGAAATTAGAAAGCTTGTGACATTTTAGCCAACCAGAATGAATAGTAACTGTGCTTCACTTTACAACAGAATCAAAATAAGTTAATTGTTAACTATAAACATTGAATAATTTGCAGCACTTAAAATCACCAAATAGCCTTAAACCAGGCAATTGCATGCATATGTCCCTATAAATTTATCTTGGTCTCTGTGCTGCAAATGTGAAGTATTCCTGTATTTTATTTGTTTACTACTTTTCAGACAATTATCCTCACCCAAAGCTGCTCACATGAATAGAAAAGAGGAAAGCAGTATATGCCACCAGGCTTACAAAGTAAAGACAAGACACAGAAGCGAAGGGGAAGTCAGTTATTCAAGGCCATAAAAAAGTGCTGAACATGATACCCAGCTCAGGTAAGGTTGATCTTCGTGTGCTGGGGTTCTTGATTAACAGTTGGCGGTTTTTGTTCCTTTGGTCATTAAATGGGATCTGAGTGTCCTTTCCCGCTTGTTTCTTCAGTCCCAAGCAAACTGGCCACTAGAACAGTGTTATTTCTGCCAGGGCATTGAGTAAACAAGCTGTTATGTCCGTCCAAGATGTCAGGAAGCGGTGCAGCTCAGAGTGTGGTTTTAACAGGCTTGATTGGGGGGTGGGGGGAGCAGGTCCCGCTCTTAACGTGGTATGTGTATTATTTTACCTACTGCAACATGTGGCAAGCCAGCCCTGCTGTGTATGAGGTTCCTTTGCTCCAGCCCCAAGGTGCCCTGATGGCACCACTGATGGCAGTGTAATTTGATTGTGACTTAGGTGAACAAAAACCCTCCTTTGCAGAATAACTGTTAAGATCTGACAGGCAGCATCTGCAATAATGGTCTTACTCAGGCTATAGGCAAACTCGGCCCTCCAGATGTTTTGAGAATACAACTCCCATCATCCCTAGCTAACAGGTCTAGTGGTCAGGGATGATGGGAGCTGTAGTCCCAAAACATCTGGAGGGCCAAGTGTGTCTATTCCTGGTCTTACTTAATCATAAAATAGCAAGGTGTGCATATTAAGTTTGTTAAGTATGGCATAGCTCCCTCATGGAAAAGATACCAATGCTATAAAAAACATGGGAGCCAGAGATTATTTTGAGGAAATGTGATACAGGTTTATTTAGTACATCAGAAGAGACAGTATAACAATGAGAACACCAGCAACTCATGGCTCTCCCTGAAACAACTTGTTCGGATCAGAATAGATAAGAATGCTCAACAGTCACAACTATCCAAAATCCAGCACATGACCTTCACTTTTACTTATCTGATTTGGAAACAGACATGTACACATGGAATATATTGGGGAAAGGGGGAAGATGGGAATTTGTTATGAAAGTACAAGTATATAAACAATGCAATATTTTTAATGCAAAAATAAATATTATTTAAAAAAATGTTTGTCAGCTAAGGCAAATTTTGCTTTATGAAAACATCTCCCAATCTTATTTTAAATTTGGCAGTGGCAACCTCAGAACTGTGTATCTGTGTGTAGATATGACACACACAACATATATATACGTGTGTGAATGTGTTTTTACACACACACACACTGAAGGGGGAAATGTTAAAGCAATGAATTTTTGGGAGCCAAGTACCTCCTTTTATGGAATCATTTAAAGATTGCTCCTTGAGGCAAAGTTTAGGTAATCTCTGGTCCCTCGTGGCTTCGATTTTGAGCTCAAAATAGAACATATACAAATAAGCTCTCATAACAACTGGCAACACATCTGTTTCATTATGTAGGAGAAGAACAGAAGGCGATCCCTTTGGGGTCACCAAAATAAGTATATAAAGTAAATACCACACAGAGAGGAAATGTTTGAAAAAGGTATAGCTAAGAGACTGGGGCTGCTTACACACCTATACATTTAAAGCACGTCCCCTGGCACCATGTCTTCTCTAAAATAATGCTTGGGACAGTAGTTTACCCCTCACAGAGCTATACTTCCCATCACCTTAACAAACCACAGCTCCCAATATACTTTGGTAGGGGAAACTTATTTTAAATGTGCTTTAAGTGTATGGTGTGTATGCAACCAGTGTGGCTGACACAAGCCTGTACTTCAAATAAATATTAATCAGAAGCCTGTGGAGAAACATATATTATAGAAATATGAAACACAAGCACTGAAAAGAAAATAGGTGAGTCATTTACTTTGCCAAAAGAGCTGTTTCCCCTTTAGCTGCAAACTGAGGGCATGGCTTTCCTTTTGTTACTATTCTTTTTCTTATTCTTTTTCAGCTTTTAAATACTGAATGGTCAAAGGTTTGTGTTTGTCATTTGGTTGATATTGACTAGTCCAACGGCAACCCTAGAAGATACTGAATTCATAGCTCTTAATAAACCACCTAGAAACTGCAGAACAACAAACACAAAAATTAAATAAATAATGGCAGTCTTCCAAATGATTCCTCAAAATGAAGTAATGTCAGTGTTACTGCTGTTGGGTCAACGGAGAAGTAGATTTCTGAGAGACAGTAAAATGCTTGGTATAAATGACCTGCTTTGGGAATGACTTGGAATCTGATCTAATCCTTGTGGGGGTAGGGAGTGCAATCCTGGGCTGGTGCTGTAAATTTATTTTAAGTGGATGTCCTTTGCTCCACATTCTCACAAACAACTGGGGAATATATTATAGTTGTTGCTGAAAGCCAGGGAGAGCACATGAGAGAGCAAATAATACTCTTGTTTGTTATGTTTATAGTACACTTTGTTATAGTGTGCCTTAATGTAAAAATAATTTAAAACATGAGCAAAAAGAGAAAATTATAGGTAGAAATGTTTCAACAAAGAATGGGTTTTTGAGAAAGACCATTAATATTCTTAGAAAGTGGGTGGTATGGTGGTATTTCTGCTTTAGTTTCTTTAAAAATAAATATCCAAAATTAGGTAAGTGTGAGAACAGGAAACATCAAACCCACTTTTTTGTATGAATTTGTGACAAGGAAACTGCTGGGCGAATTGACATGCTCTCTTGCATATCTGCTTTGTCCTAATTCGATTCTAAATTCATATGATGCATCACCATGTTTTGGATTTTATACTAAACCACTTTCTGATCATTTAAGCACAATTTCAAAAGCAACAGCAACTCCGCTGTATCATGGCAAAGCAGCCGCAAAAGTGATACTCAGATTGTTTTTAATTTTTTAATTTTTAAATTTATTTTTAGATTTTTGCAATTAGAATGGAAAAAGAGAGAGAAGCTGACAACATACTCTGATTGTGAGTTTTGAGGAGATTTTGAGCATCACATGAGAAGGCAAAAGAAGAGGTAACTGGGCTTACTAATTAACCAACATTTTGAAGTGATAAAGTTATTATAAGGGAATGCTGCACTTTGAATTACATATAGTGAATACTCTTATTGCAGGGCAAGAGCTGTTTTTTTGTTATGTGTTCAGTGCAGTTGTGCCAGCTTTCCCTGTACAAAAGGTGTACAAGCAATATATTCAGTATGCAAAACAAATGAGATTCCTTTGTAGTGTCTTCGCCATACCAAAAAATATTACGAGTATTTAATCTCATTCTTTTGTTTTGGGTATTAATTGCCTAATTTGAGTTGAAAATGTGCTTTTGCCTAGTCAGAGTGGCTAGTTACTCTAGTGGATACTTTTGCATTTGAGTTTGTGTGTGTCACTAGGTCCTGTATATTTGACATCTATCTACAGTAAGTGGCTTTGGCTTGCTTTGTTACACATTGACTTTCTGTATACATTCTTTTCTGCAATCTGGTTGCTTCTAGACAACCTGTTTGCTGAGCAATCATCCTGATTTGTCTGCTCAAAGTTTGCAAGAAGGTTAAACGATGCAGACTATTTATTAAACATCAAGCAATCTTTATCCTACACTTTCACATGCATTTTTCTACCACCTCTATGGAAAAAAAAGATTGACTGGCAGTTTTGGGGAAGCAGATTTGTTCCATAAGTGCTCCAAAATGGAGGAACATAGGAAGCTGCCATATACAGAGTCAGACTATTGGTCCATCTAGCTCAGTACTGGCTACACTGACTAGTTTCAGACACATTCACAGACTTACCTGAGGATGCTGGGGACTGAACCGGAGAACTTCTGCATGCAAAGCAGATACTCTACCACTGAGGCTCCATTCCTTTCCCTAAATTAGCTATGTTTTTATGCAACCTGAATTTGCTGGTATGCGATTGAATTCCGCCTGAAAACAAGGACAGTCTGGAACTGCCTTCTCTTTGACTGGGTGGGGGCACACAAGATTGGTTGGTCCTCAAAGCACAGCAAACATTGCCCCTTTTTGACCCTGCATTTATGTGATTGTCTATAATATCACCCCTTCGTGCTCCTCAGTTTGCTTGGTCTTTTAGTGTGATTCTCCTCTGCTCTCTTCATTCTCCCATCCCCCCACCCTCACCCCCGGTACTGGCATACTCCAAGCAATTGAAGCTGGTTGTTAACTTCTTCCCTCCAGTTGTCACTGATCCTTTCCAAGTAAAACATTACACATGGAAATTAGAACATGCTTGGCACCCGTCTCTGGTGGAAGGTGAAGGGGGGGGGAGTTATTGAGAGGCGATGGTCATGACCAAATGTCAGCCCCGGAGAGGTCCATCTGGTGAAAGTTTATGCTGTGTTTTCAGTGTGTGTTTGTTTAGACAGACCTGAAAGCCAGAGCCGGATCACAGAGTTTTGGCAAGGTAGAAGGGCACCAAGTTTACAGCGCACATTAAAGCAATGCTTTGAAGTTATATGAACACTGGATGTTCCTATTTTGTTTAAAAGTGTGCGCAAGCCTCATTTCTCTGCCCCCTCCCCCCAGGCAGCTCCTTTTCAGGGAGAAAATCCCTCTGAACAGGGTTCAGGCATTACCCCATTTTTAGAAAGGAAGCCATTTGAACCTTATGGGCATTCAGATAATAATGTGGCAGGGAGCAGAGTGTTCTGAAAAGAAGAAGAAGAAGAAGAAGAGTTGTTGTTTGGATTTGATAGCCCGCTTTATCACTACCTGAAGGAGTCTCAAAGCAGCTAACATTCTCCTTTCCCTTCCTCCCCCACAACAAACACTCTGTGAGGTGAGTGGGGCTGAGAGACTTCAGAGAAGTGTGACTAGCCCAAGGTCACCCAACAGCTGCATGTGGAGGAGAGGAGACGCGAACCCGGTTCACCAGATTACAAGTCTACCGCTCTTAACCACTACACCACACTGGCTCTCAGTGTTATTTTTAAGTATTCAGGTTTTGTAAAAAAAACCTATGTGGTTGGCTCATTTAGTCATTTTATTCAGGCTATCATGCCTGATGTTTACGTGGGTTTGTTTTCCGTCTTCTTACTCATGTGGATCAGAATAACATAGGAAGAGCCTGATTGCTAGATCAGGCCAAAGGAGCATCTAGTCCAGTATCCTATTATCACTGTAGCCAACCTGAGGCCAAATGTGCACATGATTCATTTAAAGCACATCACTTCCCTCACAGAATCCTGGGAACAGTAGTTTGTTAAGTGTGCTGGGCATTATAGCTCTGTGAGGTCTAAACTACAGTTCCCAGGATTCTTTGGGGGACGTCATGTGCTTTAAACATAGGGTGTGGATTCAGAAACACTCTCTATTGTTCGGCATTGGGGGTATGGGAAGTCGTCCTCCCATTCTCTCCTACACCAAGTGACATAACACATTTGAAAGCAACAGGAACTTTGCAAGCAATGCCTCTGAAGCTGTGGAATGACTCCCAATGAGGTTTGCAACTTCTCTGATCCTAGTGACTTCTTGGAGGGAAGGCAAAACTTACCTTTTCTGAAAGACCTGTTCTGAAAATTCCTGTCCTACGCAGAGGGAATCAAGAGCACTTTCAATTGCCATCTTGAAGCAAAAACGTTGAGAGGGAATTCTGGCAGCATAACTTTCTACAAGGAGACTTAAGGGGGTTGGCTGTTTTTCCTACCACACATCTTTTGTCAAAATGTTACGTTATGTTGCTGTTTTATATGCCTCCTTTTAGCCAAAAAAGGCTCCCAAGGCATCTCCCAGAGAATGGCACATAAATTCAAATACCTATTATGAGAATTCAATACAACAAAAGCTTAACATTTCAGAAGCTATTAAAAACCACATACATTCATGTTCCTGCCAGTAAGGCAAAGGGCAGTTCCCACAAGATGTCTGAGAGAACACATACAGTACTTAGGCAGCATCTCCTTGTAAGCTCCCAGGCAATCTCTCCCTTTGTAGCAAAGTGGCCCTCTAGAGCACCTACCTTCTTAGCAAACACAGTATACTATCCTTTGGCAAAATAAAAGTCTTTGTGGAGTTAGCCATAGACAGGGGTCAGCAAATTTTTTCAGCAGGGGGCATGTCCACTGTCCCTCAGACCTTGTGGAGGGCTGGATGATATTTTGGGAGGGGAAATGAACAAATTCCTGTGCCCCACAAATAACCCAGAGATGCATTTTAAATAAAAGCACACATTCTACTCATGTAAAAACACCAGGCAGACCCCACAAATAACCCAGAGGTGCATTTTAAATAAAAGCACACATTCTGCTCATGTAAAAACACGCAGATTCCCGGACCATCTGTGGGCCAGATTTAGAAGGCGATTGGGCCAGATCCGCCCCTGGGTCTTAGTTTGCCTACCCATGGACTAAATGCTCACATCCCTTTATCAAAAGATTGCCTTGAGGCCAAGAGAGACTTATTCCGATAGTTGCTTTGTTTATTTTTCTTACTGACTGGGAACATGATGTCACAGGTCAAACCACGTTGCAACTTCAGCTTTGCTTCCCTTTCTTCAGAAGCACTAAGAGGCTCAGGAATGTTTGGCCACCAACAGCAATGCAGAGGTCTGGTCTCATCACCTTGAAAAGTATATTTTAGTGTTGGAAGAGGTTCAGAATAGAGCAACCAAAATGATCAAGAGGCTGGAGTGACTTACCTGTAAGGAAAGGTTGCAGCATTTGGGACTTCTTTGTTTAGAGAAAAGGCGAGTAGGAGATGAAATGGTAAAAGCTTATAAAATTATGCATGGCATAGAGAAAGTGGACAGGGGAATGTTTTCCTCCTTCTCTCATAACTAGAACATGGATATCTAGTGAAGCTGAATGTTGGAAGATTCAAGACGGATAAAAGAAAGTACTTCTTCATACAACACATCATCAAAATGTGGAACTTGCTTCCACAGGAGGCAGTGATGGCCTCCAACTTGGATGGTTTTGAAAGAGAATTGGACAAACTTATGGATGTCAAGACTATCAATGGCTACTAGCCATGATGGCTACACTTTGACTCTGTGGCTGAAGGCAGTAATGCTTCTGAATACCAGTTGCTGGAAACTGCAGGATGGACAATGCTTTTGAGTGTGGCTCCTGCTTGTGGGTTTCCCACAGGTATCCGGTTGACCACTGTGAAAACAGGATGATGGGCTAGACTGGCCATTAGCCTGATCCAGCACACTCTTCTAATGTTTTTAATGGACGGAATGAAACACCTGCCAATCACTAACAGCTTACCTCCAAGTAAGGGCTGATACAGCCTAGCCTCCTAGCCTAGCTCAACCTCAGCTGCCAGTGTTTAAAGGTGTTCTGAGATAAATTCATTACAAGGAGTTCCCTTACTCATGACAACTTTTAGCCTTCAGATGTGCACTTTGCTGTGGAACTGTGACTTGCACTTTTAGGTGCCTGAGCTCTTGAAAGATGGGGCAGAGGGTGTCTTGATCTCTACCTTTGACTCAACTGGGGCCTTTCTGTGGGCACTCAGACTGGAATCCAGTCTGAGGGCTGGTCTGGTTTCAAAGTGGATGGGAGGACCACGTGTTGAGATTACTGTATTGCAGCGGTTGGGCTAGATGACCCTTGGGATCCCTTCCAACTCTATAATTCTATGATTCAGGGTTGGCAACTCTGAGGAGTTGGTGCCCGGCTTTGGGTCAGGGCTGGACTTGAGGTTGCTGCACATTGTATTTTCTCATTTCTCCAATAAAATCATGGGAATGTGTGCAATTATTGCTGCACAGCTTCTATTCAAATGGCTGGTGACTTGGTTCCTGATAAAAGAGCAAAGGAATATGCATTTTGTCAGATAATTCCATCAAAATCACCTTGGAACCTGTTCAAGTTGTCATTATTTTTTTAAGGCTTAAAGCCACTTCCTGTGCCCCAAACTATTTTTTGTTTGTTTGTTAATTGCAAAACTGATGTGGGAATGTGGAAAACGAGATTGGAAAAATGAGAAATTTAGAAAAACTGAAATTGACTGATTCACACTTCCCTATCCTGGGATGGTGCCGGACTTCAAAGGAGCCTTTGGCTTGGTCCAGCTGATAACCTTGGCTGCCACTGGAGCCCTACTACTATTCTTCTCTTTGTGGCAGCAGTGCCACCATCCTCCTCCTCTTCTTCCCAATTGTCCCCATTCTTTCTACCCTCCCCTGTGCCCCATCTCTTACTTAAAAACACATACAACACTTTTGCAATAGCAACAACAGTGCTGGCACCTTTACTACCTTCTAACACAGTGGAGATATATTTTTTTTTAAATTGCATGCAAAAGGCATTTCTTCAAGCCGCTATGGGAAACTGTAGAAGCAGTGCAGGCATTTTCCTAGCCACTTCATTCAAAATGCCTAAAAATAAGGCCCCCTTGCTTCTTTCTCAGAGACCAGGCATCAGGTAAGGGAGCAGGAGGATGGTGGAGGTCTGTGACTAGACAACTATTGCTGTGAATGAGATTGCTGCCAGAAGGGACTCGGTGGCAGTGACTGAGCAGGCAGCAGGTCAGGCCAGCGAGGTGTCCCTTCTGAGTCCAGGGGCCCCTGGCTAGTGCCCAACCTGGCTGACCACTGGTGCTAGACCTGGCTGTAACTTTCAGCCTACAGGTTCATGCCTCATAAAAAAAATACCGCATGAATGCAAGCCATCTATGCTAACATCACACACACACACACGGGGGGGGGGAACAGATGGCCACATTTCATCATGGGTGTTTTATTAAAAAAATCCATTTTTAAACTTTTGCTAAGGGTTCCCCCGCCTTCTGTAAAAACATGGTGTGTGAGTCATTAAACATGCCAAAGTGCTATCTGCATGGGATTTTCAATTAGGAAGCTGTTTCCATTAAACTTTGGTTGGGCCAGAGGCCAATATTC